CCGTTAGCAATATCTCAGCGAATTTTAATATTTTTCGGTGATCTCGACAATACTCCGACCATTCCCGTCGCAATCATTCTGTCAAACGTCATGGGTATGTACGCTTGAACTTTTTCGTCATTTCCTTCTTTATCCTCTTTAATTTTTGTCTTATACTCTGACAACCACTAGTCGTTTATTTCTTCAAGTTTTCTTGTTCCAAAAAAAGTCCAACAACCATATCGAACTCTTACAATACCTCATCGTCGACCTCCAAACCTATAGTGAAACCATCTTTAACCCTAGCTCTTTCTCTTGCGTAAAATCCAAAGCTCTATCTTCTTTTGTGAGGGCAATCGAACCCAATCTATCTCCTCTTACTCCATTGATCGCGTTGCTAACCTCCTCTATGAAATCGAGCTCCCTTAGGGCTGGCACTTTAGGATCCCCAAATTCGGGGAATTTCTACTAGCCCATCAGGCTACTACACCTTTTTCCTTGACTAGGCCGAGGTCGGGCTAAAACTTTTCCTTATGGACGACCTAGTAGAGCTCAGCCGGATATATTGTCTTCCTTTAATTTTCTCCGTGGGCCTTGTTCTTAGGTTAATTCCAATGCATCGGTCCACACCGCCTTCGATCAATTCTCGCGGTATTTGACTTTAGAAATTAATTGGACCTTTATTTCTATGAAAACTCAAAATAGAACACCTCATCATAGCTTAATAAAATTAATTAAATAAATAAATAATCGTATATCAAATTACGATGCAACAGACATGAAAAAACACTCTAAAATGCACATAAAAATGACGCGTGTTAGACATCCCTAGAGCAAAGCCCAAGGAATCACGATATATATCATCCCAGTATCACATATGTCAATCGGCTGATCGCCATGTCAACATTGTCGATCGCTGATATCGCCAACGATTGTCAATCGCTCTACAGAGTATGGACACACTTTGACATGCTGGAACTAGTATAACCACTAAATATGGTGACACTACCTCCCAAAAGATCTCGTCTCGCCATCCAAATCACTCATATCTCGCAGACTTGCATGAATACGTCCCGTCCTCAAAAGACGAACTTTTGCATGGCTCTACGAGTCTTCTTCTTAGCCATCAAGTTGGCTCGTGATCATCACTACACTTTATTTTTTTTCTAGTAAAAAGTTGACCTCTCGGTACCTCCATGAAGAACAGACTGAATAGGTTAAGCACCACTAAAAAGTACACACTAGCATACACAAAGTCTGCTCTGCGGCCACCATTGTGACACCAAAACAAATTGCTAGTTATTTCTCTGAGAGAACCTTTCTCCTTGTTGATCTCACAGTAGATCAGCGAAATCTCGTGTTATTTCACCTTTCGCATAAATACTATTCATACACTCACCTAAGTAATTTTAATCTCCAAATTAAGGTACGTTGACGATCGCTCGTCAATAAGTCCCAAAATAATAAATCGGGGGACATTATGTCTTTTACCAGAAAATTATTATTCATATAATATGAATCTTTGCCCCTTACTCCATACCAAATTATCTACTAAAACCATGGATTGAGGAAGATATTGTCGTAGGCCAGATAAAATCTTACGGGCCTTAATCCATGTTAACAAACACCCATTTTAAGGTTAAATTAACATCCAATGGGGTTTGATAGTTGTCCCAATTTTTCTCTCTTCGGCTTTCCCCCACTTTCTCTGTGGCATAGCCTAAATTTTTTGGTTTGCCTTCCCCAGTGGGGTCGCCGGGCTCCTTGACGGTTGGCAGTCTTGGATGTTCGACGCGGCCCCAATATGGTGTCGGGGCCTGTTTTCTTTTGTGGTAGAGTTGGATGGCGTTTCCGAGTGGTCTTGCCTTTGTTTGTTATATTTTTGTACTTATTTTTATGTGTTTATGTGTGCTATCGAGTTGGTTTTAGGTTCGTTTTAGTGTCGACCGGTCCATTTTATAGTTTTTCGTATGTTTTTGTGTCTTTCGTTTTATTTTATATTTTGGCGTACGTTTCTTTGCTTTTGGGTATAAATTTAAGGTTTGTTCTGGGGATGGAGAGAGAGAGAGAGACGAAGTCGAGTCACTTTCCGAGATACGAGCATTTTTCGAAGAAGTTGAGTTTCCGAGTAGTTCCAAGTCATTCCGTGCGAGTTGTTGATTGAACCGAGATGTTGGAACCTTAGTCGATCCCGTACCGAGATGTCACCTAGCCATGCCGCGAGCTCGCCGGTGTTTCCTCGAGGTCGAGAGTCTGAGCCAAAGCCTCCTTTGCATACTCGCGAGCCCGCCATTACTTCCTCGAGGTCGAGAGTGCACTCCAAAGTTGCCAGCACCACTCGCGAGCCCGCCATTATTTCCTCAAGGTCGAGAGTGCACTCCAAAGTTGCCAGCACCACTCGCGAGCCCGCCGGCGCTTCCTCGAGGTCGAGAGTGTATCCTGCAGTCACCATTGCACGTTCGCGAGCTCGCCGGAGGCCTCGCGTGATCGAGAATGTATCATTTTATGTGCATTTTTAGTGTGTGTTTGTGGTGTAGCTATAAATAGACATCTTGCTTTGTATTTTGGGGAATAACCCTCATTTCCCAACTTTTAAGTTGGGAAAATCCTCTTTATTTTCTTTTTTTTTTTCTTTTTTATGTTTTGGTTTGGAGCATATGAATCAAGTTTTCCGATGAATATACAGCGACATTGTTTCGAGTAAAGTTTCAAGCTTTTGACTCAGTTTCTCCTTCCAAGTGCGTGTAAGAGTGGGTACTTAGTCATAAGCCTCATTACTTCGTATATCTTTGTTTGCTTTTGTGAAAATTGATATTGTGCTTGAGTTGCTTGGAGGAAAAGATTGAATCTTTGGATCGTGAATGCTTGACTAAGTGTGATTAGGAGTTAAATGCTTGCTCGTTTTGTGCTAGAGTTTGGTTTAGTTACCTAGGTTTTTAGCTAGCATGTCAATGTTCGGTTATTTGTGCTTGTTTGATCATAGAGACTACAGCGAACCAAAATCTCTCTTTCCCCCTTGATTTCTCTCATCTTCTTGCGTGCTTTTTTTTGCCTTGCAAATTGCTTTCAATTGCCCTCAATTTCGTAGATTAGTTTAGCTTAAATTCATCCCTTCAAGCGAGTAGCATGTTTAGGACCTTTTCGGTTGTGTGATTTGGCGACTAGATAGTGAACGAAGCTCCGAAGAGCATTCCTTTGAGAACGACCCGAGTCCGGGTAGCTCGGTTACCAATTGCCCAAAAATACTACAAACAGCCTTTCTATCTGGTTGTCATCTTGGGATGGTGGTTGTCGTACTCCATGGCGTCGAGGCGACGAAAAGATTCAGTGTTGTTGGGGGG